TCAGTGTTCGAAATTAGCTTTAAGAATGGGATTATGATTAAGATTAGAAATTTGCCTTAGAAATTAGGATGTGGATAAGGTCAGGAGTAGAGTAGGGTTAGGATTATGGTTAGAATGAATGTTATTGATAAGTTTAGAAAATTGAATTATATTAAGATTATAGATGTATGATTATTGTGATGTAGCAAATAGACTTGGCTAGTAGGATTAGGGAGAGAAATTAGGAGTAAAGGCAGTTAAAACGTTGAGCATGTCAGATGTAATGGTAGTCAAGTAGGAGTCTGGGTATAGTTCATCTTCGTTGTACCTGGTCGCAGCTCTCTAGCTCTATGTACGAGGATGGTCTCCCAATCCTCGGCCGCCTGTCGCTTAAACATCTCTCGTTCCTCAGCCACGGTGATTTCTGCCGGTTGAAGGCCGTCGGTTACCGTGCACGGCCTGGCGAGGAAAAGAAAGACCAGAAATGGCGAAAATCCCTCATGAGATATAAACAATAGCGGAGGATGTGCGGGAACTCGTCAGCATGCATGAAACTCACATTTAGAGAAGTAGACGACTCGAAACATGGCATGTGGCAGAAGGAAATAGTAGACGACGACTATTACACAGCATATAGTTAACCCACGTGCAGAGGCGACACGTAAAAAACTCCGTGATCGTGTTCCGTACCAAAAAACGTTACCTTAAGAGGGATTTAGTTCACTTTTTAATCAAATTTTTAAGGGTCGTTCTTTTCAATAATATGTAGGTGTCCTCTTCAGGAAACATATTTTTTTCAACATGCTACAAATTTACACAAAGTAGAATTACAGGTAATAATTAAGCTCATTATGGAGCAGTATAATAAGATAAATTACCAATGTATAATAAAAATAAGAGAAAAAAATGGAAATTAAATAAAGTAATAACAACATTACTGTCGATGAATATAATTGCACGGGGCAGTATCTTCAAACGTGATCATAGACATTGCAGATATTTAAGATTTGGTTTTTGTTGGAAAAATCCATGCACTTTCTCATTGCAAAAGCGCATGGATTGACCTGAGACCGCATACTGTCAATTTATCGGGATTGACACGCCGTCCACGAGTCGGGATTTGCGACTTCATAGCACAACAGCGTCAATCTAGAACTAAATATTCTCTACCGCGCTTCTCTGTTTAGCTCAGAATCTAAATAGTCTACCTCGCACGTGTATCAGTCACGTGACAAAGTTACAGGAGTCGAATTAGCTACGTGTTAATCATATTAAATTGTCTGTTAATTGTATGACGGAAATGCACTCACTGCTTCGACAGGAAATCCATTCCGGCGGCAGAGAAGGCGAAATGTACGGAGTTGTTGGAAAAGCACTTCTCGTAGAAGGACGTTCCGCTGGCGAATACCTGCACGTCTGGATGCGCTACGAGATAGCTTTCCGGCTCAGAAATCAAACCTGTAACGAAGCAGAAGCAGATGACGACAACACTTAACTTTCACGTACCTTCGTAATATATCTATGTGCACAATATACGCGTCTATGGGCTATACGGGAGCGTGTGTTTGCGTGCGTGCGTGTGTGTGTGTGTGTGTGTGTGTGTGTGTGTGTGTGTGTGTGTGTGTGTGTGTGTGTGTGTGCGC